CTTATCAATTATCATCGTGGGCAAAACAGTGTCAGTAACTGCCAATTAAAACAGATTGGATAACGAGAAACAAAACCAAAAAACTAGAACAGCACCTTTGCCTTGCCCTTTTCCAGGCTCAGCTTCACTTCCCTTCCTGTCCAGTGTTCTTGTCCTCTCTTAAATATGTTTTCAGAGGCATCACTGACTTTGCTGATGGCCTCAGCTGTGGCCTGCAGTGGATCAACACCTTAGAAATCCCTTGTCTTCCTTGTCCCTTCCTATGAAACCAAATCTTATTAGCAATGTTTGAGGAATGCTTGTGTCAATTCTTCTGTCTAAATAATGTTCACTAGTCACAGCTTTAGGGAACTGAGCATTTTCCTTTGTGTAACTGATTTTTTCACCCGAATTCCTGTGATATGGCTCACAGAACAAGCTGTTACAATGACCTGAAGCATGGACTATTTCAAAATATACCCCTTTTTCATACTGCATAACCTCTGCATCACAATCCTGTAAAATAACATTACACTTGAAAATCCAGCTGATACCATAAGATTGTATTTTACAGCTGTTATATATCAGCAATTTTAAGCTCACAGTATTTTCTATGATGCCATCTGAATTCTTCATGAAATATTTTCTATTCCCCCACTGCACAGACAGGGATTTTATTACGAGGCACCTTATCTCATGGGCAGGGTTCTTAATGCTTATCACAATGCCACTTTTCTATTTACATACCAGGATTGACAAATAGATTCTATCCATATTTTTGTTTACTGAGCCATTTCCTGCGCGGAAACAAATTTGATTTAAAACAGCTCTGAAGTCTAGTGATGGAGAAATCTAATATGTGTCTGCCATACAAAGGTGGGTGAAAGAAGTGCAGCAGTCTAAAAGTCAAAATGGAAAAAGAAAATAGATGGGGAAGTCACTCAACTTTTATGCTGTTCTTCTAAACCTTATTTTCAGGATAATTTTTTGCCACGTATGCCTCTTATCTCCCTCTCAGGCTTCTTAATCCCGTATGTTTAAATCCTTGAGTTTCACCCCCTGGATCTGTTTCATTTCAAAAGCAGGAACACAGAAGAAAGATTTCTGAAAATGAAGGACACTAGTCTTTGGCAATAAGAATCACGAAAACAGAACTGACGCTCACAAAGGCTCATACAATTGTTTCAGGACTGAGATGACACAGGAATAGAAGAGTCTTAAGAACAGAAGAATTAAATTATGAAACAGAGCTGGAAAGACTTTTACATAAGTGCTGTTCACTTCCCCTTCTCATCACTACTTTTTTCCCTTTGTTAAACAGAGATCAATAAAATCATTCCGCTCATAGGTAGTTGGCATCTCAAACCCATCCTCAAGCTATTTCTATACATTCAAAATAATTCATATGCAGTAGTGTAGCATTTAATCTTCACAAAACAGAAAATCTGAGCTGAAATCTCACAAGAACTCCAAAATTCTCTCTGAACTTATAAATAAATCCCATTTTAAAATGCTGCCAACTCTGAGAAAAGATCTGTAAATTATATCATTTCCTCAAGACCTTTTTTCTAGGAAAAAAATGAAGCATTCCAGTGCTCTGATACCACAGAGAAATTTGTTTTCAGACTAAAAGAACGTGAAAAAAACACAGTCAGCAGCACGAAAATACAAGTTTCCTACCTTTTATTCACTGAATACGAGACTAGCTTTGGTTCACTCATCTTACTAGGAATTTTCCCAGTAAAAGGGAGAATGTTGGTAGGAGCAGTCCCTGAGACTGTGATAGTAACAGCTCTGCTGGCAAAGTGTGAAGTGCAGATGGTGTCAAAGATATGCCAATAACTTAAGCAGGAGCTTCCAATAAAACCTCTTGTAGTGTATATTGTACTCAGTGAATCAAAGTGAAAGGGGCAAGCCGGGCTCTTTGGCTCTTTTATTCCACACTTAGGCAGTTTAACTACAGTATATGCAAGTGCATCCCTCAGGGAAAAGTCTGGGCTCCAGATGTGTTTGTATTTGTCCTAGGCATGAGCTATCTCTAACCAAGTTGGTTCAGAGTCTCCAGAGAAGAAAAATCATCATCAGAAACACGGAAATTACTTCCATCTGATCTACCTTCTAGTGACAGAACCATAAAAAAGAGTTTCCCCAAGTATTCCTTTGAGCTCTTTCCAGCTCATCATTGCATTCAATGATCAAAATATAAACCATTTCAGAACATGATGTCCTCCTCCTGCTTATGAACATTGCTCAAAGATTTAAAACCACAGACAAGCCATGCTAAGGCTTCTACTTCACCATCGATGTACTTAAAACACCGTTCTCCATATAATTAAGCTTCTTTTTCCCAAACTGGGGATTGGAATGCACACTGCCAATCAGATCTTCTACTGACAGAAAACCAACACATAAGGTTCAGACACTGAAGTGGCATCTTCATGTTATTATATCTGTTTTAATTAGCTTTACTTTTCATGTAGGGTAAATAAAACATTAAGGAGCCAGCCAGACAGATAAACGACGAACTGTTGTTCAAACAGCTCCACGAAATGAGCAAGAATAAGGCCTGAAGAGTGTTGTATTTACCTCTGTAGCTCCCAGGGCACTTTTAAGAACACTGGGTCAGGTATACTGAGACATTGAGAAAATGTGCAATTTCTTTCCCACTGAGCTGTCAAGGCATTCATGCTGTGAGCAGCTAACACCCCTCCTTTGACAACCAGGCAAATATTTCTATTTTCTGCCATTCTAGTCATGAAGTATCTCAGCATTGCCTTAGTTGATTTAGTGCCAATTCAAGTCAGACTTTGGATGTCTGAGCTAGTAACTGGACAAAATATTCTTGATGAAGCCTTGTCACAAGCTCATAAGACTGCTGTTTAATACATTTCCAAATAGTTAGATAGTAAAAAAGCTGTAAAAGCTGAAAACGCTGCACAGAAACAGAATACACATTCACTGAACTGCCAGATTGGGGATTTAAGTGACACATACAAGTCAAATATGCTGCTGCTTCTATTTATTGTTAGCATTACTTTAAAAAAAACAAACCAAACCAAACCAAAACAACCACGTAAAGTTATATAAGACTATGCCATTCCTTGAAATCAATTCTTTAATTCCCATCCTTTGAAAATACATGTACTTAGAGAAGCATAATTGATAACCAAGTCTATCCAGGTAGAACTGAGGCAAGGCTAAATGAACACATCCTATTCAAGAGATTATTGCACATAGATACTACAAACATTATTTTTTTTTTCCCCTCAAAACTTTTCAGATAAAAATGCCTAATCACACTGAGCTTGCACCTATTGACCAGAAGTTTCCATTAACAATACCATAAAAGTGGAAGACAGCATGAAGGGAATGCTTCTTTTGGTGGGGTCTGATCCCATGGAAGCTGCTCAGAAATCACGGGATTAGAACTTCACGGCCTTTTTTTTTCCCATGGGCTAAGAATAAGCAGGCAGTAATAATGGTTCAGTGTGTGAACACTCAAATCCAAAAAGCAATAAAATAAATTATTTAGAGTGCAGACTTTGTGCTAAGAGCTCAAAGCACTTTTGAGACTGGATTCCATCCTCTAAGCTATGCTGCACTGCACAGTGCTCCCTTACTCAGAGCTTCTATTTCAGGCAGGGTTTGGTTTAGTGTTTTAACTCCCATACTTAAAATCTACAGAGAATGAAAACGTCCATTAACTGAATATGCCTTGAACAGTACTTACCAATGCTGGCATAGCCAGGTGTTGATGGATCTCCTCCACTGTTCAAGGAAACCATAAAAGCTTTATCAGCAAGCTCTGTGGTCTTTGGCAAGTCACAAGGGTCAGCGTAAAGGAGAACACCACCAAAGCCTGCATCTTCCAGCAGGGAAAGCTGGGGGAGCAAACCAACACAGGTGACTATTAACAACAGCAGTGCCAGAACACATTATGGTTTATTCCAATTAATGCTGAGATAGAGGCTTTATCATGCATCAAGTTCTCACCACGCAATGCTCTGTACAAACCAAATAAAGACAGGTGCAGTGCTGCAGCGTTTGTAGCACAGAACCAGAAGCTATGACACAACAAAATCAACCCCCCCAGAAAACTATTTGAAGTCATGTTTCCCAAGAAGCTCGTGCCAAGAGCTTCCTTCAAAGCCTAATGACAAAAAAAGAATCTTACTTTTACCTGGTATGTAGCATTTAGAGGAAACACAGAGCTAAGACTCTCTACAGTTGCATTTGAGATTTGAAACTGCTGCATTTTCACCTCTTTTATTTTGACAGAGAGGGGTGGTGTGTTGCAGGTTTCCTTCAGAGGATGCACTGGACATGATTCAGTCACACACACAAAGAGATACGACTGGAGCCACTTTTCTCCCTGCTCATCAGACACTTGCTGGACTTACACCCTTAACAGATTTTCATGTGATAAAAATACCACCTTGAAAATGCCTCAGTTTTGAAACTAATCTTACTAAAACATCTTGAGTTGATCTTCCATATATGTAAGACACTTTTGCTTAGTTTACCTCCTCAGGGACATGGGCATAGCACATACTAGATGTCTGTATACACTGGCACAGGATTTCTGGACAGTTACTCTTCAATTAAGATAGAAAACATAAGGAGTTTACAGATTAATAAAAAAAAAATTAGATTAAAAAACCCAGTCTATCTTACCCAACCTGGAGTTTGCCTCCTGTTAGGCAAACAGCTTTTATTCTGCCTCATTAGAACACCAAAGCTTGAATTGGAACTTCTAATTAGCCTTTCCAAAACTCTATAGACCTGGGGCAGCAAATCAGGCAAAATTCCCCAAAGTCAAGGACAAAAGCATCCAAGTACCATAACTTGTAGCAGTCTTTTTGACTGAAAAACCTCAGGTTTTCCCTTTCATAGAGAACTGAAAAATATGGGGATTTTATTCTAAATCATATGAAATCAAACTGTAATGTGGCAAATAGTCCCACGAAATGAGATGACCTTTCTGTGTAATGCTCTGCACATTTGGAATTGACTGAAGACCTACTACAGTGATACAAAGCTATATTAATTTTCCAGACAGAAGTAATTCGGATTTAATTTAAGGATTATCTTACTATTCACTATGCTGCTCTACTGATGGCTTTCCAAATGGTTCCAAGTGGTCAGAGCAATGACTGCAGGTATGTGGTGTTTCTGAACCAAACAACTCTGACTCCACAGGAACCCGAGAACTTGTTATGACACCTTCGTTTCTCAGTTCTTCTTCTCCTTCTATTTTTCAGACCTTTTATTTTTTCCCGTGTGTATATATACAATTTTCAATTTATCCCCCAACTGCTGATATTAAGGACTGTTTACGCAGAGTTCTTTGTGGCTTTACAAGTATTTAAATTACGTGAATATATGGCATTCAGTTGAAGCCTCATAAGCATGTGGTGTTTAGTTCTGCTTTTCTCAACAGCTAAGACAGAAAAAAATAATAAAAATAGCAGCCTACTATTTACCATGTTATAAAAAGAGCAATCTGCTATTTCTATAAGTAAACACATTTAATATTGTGATTTGGAAAGATTTTGACACTAATCTGAATTCAGATAAACAGAAGCAAGTGAACCTGTGGATCAATTAATCTTATTCAAACAAGCAATCCATGGATAGAAAGGGATTCTTTGAGAGAACTCTCTTCAGATGAATAGGAGTGGGAGAGTAAGAGAATGCAACTAGCACAGCTGCTTAAAAATGAAAAGGGTTAAAAAGGTATTACAGACCTTAAATGTAATGCAAGAAGAGAGATTTCCAAAATGGTAGGTTCATTAATTATTATATTGTTCTGTTTCCAATTCATGCCCATGTTCAGATATTCAGCCAGAATTTGATTGCATATAAAAGGGGTGGGAAAACTATGGGAGAAGCAGGGAGATTTAAAATAACAATTGCCTTTTCCTGCACCCATATCCAGTATCTTTTTATTAATCCCTAGTTTATTAGTAGCACATAAGACGGGAAACAGAGATGCATTCTTTCTCATTTTTTTAAGAGAATTTTAAAAAGTTTGTACTTAACAAAAAATCACTATTAAACTTATCAGTTTCACCGAGAGAAGGTAACTACACATCTGTTATTCACAAAGTGCAGCAACCACTGCTGCCATGGCCACAATCTCTGGTAGGGAGTTGTGTCGCACGTGAAATTACAGAACAGCTTTCAGATTTCAGCTTTAATTGTTGCTTTTTAACTTTACAACAGTGACAGCACAACCATACCAACAATAAATAGTTATTGTTGATTCCATTTTCATCTCAAATAAGTCAACACTTTACCAGGCAAAAACTGACCTAGCACAAAGAATCCAAGGAAAGTACTGCTTTTTTTCTTTTTTTTTTTTTTTTTTAACACGGAAAATGTTGC